ATAAGATTACAAGGGTAGTTGCTTAGGTAACATCGAGCCAGTGGAAAGTTGTGAAGTGGCTGTGGGGTGGGACAAAACTATGGTGAACCAATAAGGTTACAAGTAGGGTCCCTTAGGTGATACTGGTTAAACAGGGATCAAATAGGGATGCAAGTTACATGGTGTACAGGAAGTAAAACAAGGATTTTCCTTCCGGGAAGGAATGGGCTAGGAGGCTCCCAGTCCCCCACCCAAGGTGATGGATGCCTATTAGGAATATCAATCAGTGCTGCTGATTCCTAGGGGAAGTATGTGGGCGAAGTCCTTCCTCTTTTTCCTGAGGCCTGGCCTTCGGTGAATTGTGCCTACAGGCACAATTGTCTCGGGAGCTGAGGGCCAGCCCTGCGAGCTGCCTGTAATAGTTACAACCAACTTAGCTGCCTACAATATTATTTTTGGGGAAGCATAGTGAGATCCCTTGAGAAAGACTACAAACATTGAGGCCCTACTGAAACTGAAGATCCAAGTGATATAGGGTGTATGATGTAGGAGCTCCAAATAACATAAGGGAAATATAACTCCCTACCTGCTAGAAGGGCAGAACACCACGTTCGTGTTCCCTAAAATCAAATAATGAATTCTAGGAACAGAAGTTAAAGAGGGGCCTGGGACATAGCTCGGTGGCACAAGCACCTGCTTGGCAAGTGCAAAGTCCTGAGTTCGATTCTTGGTACAAAAAAAAAAAAGACGTTAAAGAGGAGGAAGAATTTATTGAGGAAAAGAAAAGCTTCTGTCTAAGAGGAAACAGAAGGGGTCCCCAGGCGGGGGTGGCCCAAGACCCCACTTCTCAAGTGAGTCTTGTAGAGCAAAACCATGAGGTGAGGCAGGTCTAAGGGGGGACAGAACTGCAATCAATAAGATTGTAAGTATAGTCGCTTCCAGCTGGAAGATCACGGGAGGGGAGTCAGGTGGGACAAGACCTTAGTGAACCCATAAGGTTACATGTATAGTTGCTTAAGTGATATCCATCAAATGGGGATCAAATGGGGGAAGCAAGTCAGTAGCGAGGGGACAAAGACTTTCCTGGAAGGGGTGGGGTAAGGAGGTTTGGTCCCCACCTAAGGTGATTGATGCCTTCTTAGAAAATCCCTGCTGCTCACCCCTAGGGGAAGTATGTGGGTGAGTAGTTCCTCTTTTTGTGAATCCTGGCCTGCAGTGAATGTGCCCCCAGCCACAGCTGTCTCTGCCCTGAACTTTCGAGGGCCCAGCCCTGTCTGGCTGCCTACAGACTTTCTAAATAATTTAGCTAGGGGCCGGGAATATAGCTCAGTGGCACAAGTGCCTGCCTGGCAGGCACAAGGTCCTGAGTTCAATTCCCAGTACCTAAAAAAATTTTTAAAATAATTTAACTAGGCCAGGTGGTGCATGTCTATAATCCCAGTGCTCCAGAGGCTGAGGCAGGAGTTCAAGGCCAGCCTGGGCTGCAAAGTGAGTTCAAGGCCAGCCTAAACTGCATAGTGAAACCCTGTCTCAAAAAAAAAAAAACAACCCAAAAAACCAAATAAATCATTTTGCTGTCTAATAAAAGCGCAACTGTCTCTGGTGAGTAAGCGGAGCAAGCATGGCGTGTTGCTGCACCTCTCCCTCCGAGCTGCAGTTTGCCATCAGGAAAGTGAGAAGGAGCGAGCCTATGGGGCAAGGTACCTATGCGTGAGGTGCACAGGTACTTGCTGCGGGGTGCGACCCCAGCACTTCTGCTCGGATTGGCACAGAACTTAAGTTTTGAGGAAATGAGGGAAACTGTTTAGTCAGTCAAACCCAAAGTGTAACCTGCCTGCTTCTAAACAATGTAAGCAGAATAACTCACGTGACAAGCGTAGGTGTTAAATGTGGCACGTGAGTTTTGAGTTGAGGAAGATATAGCTCAGTGGTGGAGCACTTGCCTGGCAGGCTGCAGGCTCTGGGTTTAATCTAGCGCTGGGTGTGTGTGTGTGTGTGTGTGTGTGTGTGTGTGTCCGGGGTTCAATCTGCAGACCCACCAAAGGAAAAGCAAGTTGAGTTGAGCACTTGAAACAAGTGTGATGTACATCCTTCAAGCCTACTCTTTGAGGGCAAAAAAGACTGCACTTTGAGAACCAGTTCTCAGAGGTCTGTGAGGGCAGATTGTGCTTTAGAACTTCGAGTAGAGAGAAGCGTGAGAGAATAGAGGATTCAAGTCGCTTAATTCCTAAAATATTGCTCTTTTCACCCGGGGGCGGGCGCCTGTGATGGTGGAATGAACTGCACTTAGGGTGGGAAAATCTAGTTTAGCAGGACCTGTGGTATACACCTATGATTGCAGCACTCTGGAAGCTGAGTCAGGAGGATCTCTGTGAGTTCGAGGACAGCCTGAGTTACATAGTGAGTTCAAGGCCAGTCTGGATTACATAGCTAGAGACTCTGACTCAAAAAACAAAACACACAAAGAAGCAAGCCCATTTTAAGACCCATCAAATTCTGGCCCTTTCTATATCTGTCACCTCATGGAAGTAACCTACCGGCTGAGTACCTCGGTTTCCTCATATGTAAATGGGAATGTTGATCTTTCTGGGGCTTTGTTTTGTTTCCTTTTATTTTTTGTTCATTTGTTGAGCTGGAGATAGAAGCTGGGCAACCACCTACCATATTCCCAGCCCTTCTCAGGGCTTTTTTCTTTTTTTAAGGTTAAATGAATTACATATTTTTTAAAGAATCAGTGAATCAAATCTGAAATATCAACCGTAAAAGTTACCAGATACTAACAGAAGCAGAAAGAAAAGTCTGGGGACCTGAACAGAGATGAAGGTTTCAGGAAGAGCAGTTCAGTCCCATCAGGTACCCCGCTCCTGGGAGGTTCTCACGGCCCTGCCTGGCCCTGTCCAGCCAGGTGCTGACATCATGGGGGATGATGACATCATGGGGGATGATGACATCATGGGGGATGAGGCCATCATGGGGGATGGCAGGACTTGCCTGGGGTCCCACCTAGCTTGCCCCTGATTGAGGAGTAGTTTCCTTGGAGCCAAAGCAAGATGCTACTGTAAGAAAAGTGGGGAGTGGCTCCTGGCCAGGCATAAACATCAAGGTGCCTGGAGCCTGTGCTAATGTTTTGTTTGGTTTGTGAGACAAGGTCTCACTATGCAGTTCAGGCTGACTTTGAGCTCACTTTGTAGTCCAGGCTGGCCTTGAACTCAAAAGGATCCTCCTGCCTCAGCCTCCCCAGTGCTGGGATTACACGTGTGCGCCACCACGCCCGGCTGCCTATGCTAATGCTAAGTACCCTTTGTGTGCTGATAATTGATAAAAGGCCCGGAAGGGAATACTTCCAAGAATAATGGCTGGGTATAACTGAGAGTTAAAGAAGGGTTTGGAAAGACTGGCTTATCAGGTGTTTTACCAATCTGCACACCACAATTTCATTGTCCTTTCTTCTGACCTTTCATGGCTATGACCACTGACTTGTAACAACAAAGATTAGTTTGCCTGCTTTTGTCCTTTCCATAAATGAAATAATGTGGTGTACACTTTTGCCTCTGCTTTCCTTAGCTCAGTGCGATGATCAAGCGCTCTGCCAGGGTGGTGAGTTGGCAGGATGGTCCATTCTAGTTTTGTGAAGTCTGCTGTGTGAATTTTTTTCCTACTCCACTGCTAATGGGCACTCAGGTAGCATTCAAATGCGTTCCCGTGATCAGTTTTAGTAATGGATAAGCACAGCTATCTTCCAAACCCTTCCTTTCTTTTTCTCCTTTAAGTCTCAATTATATTGGCCATTATTCATAGAAGTATTTCCTTCAGTTATCAGCACACAAAGGATACTTAGCATTAGCATAGGCAGCCAGGCATGGTGGTGCATGCCTATAATCGTAGCACTGGGGAGGCTGAGGCAGGAGGATCATTGCAAGTTCGAGACCATCCTGGGCTACAACATGAGCTCAATGCCCGCTTGAACTGCAGAGTGAGACCCCGTCTCAAAAAGACAGAAACAGGGGCTGGGGATTTAGCTCAGCGACAAAAGCGCCTTCCTGGCAAGTGCAAGGTCATGAGTTCGGTTCCCGGTACCGGAGAAAAACAAAACAAAACAAAAAGACAGAAACAAAAAACACTTGATGCCAGGCATGGTGGCGCACGCCTGTAATCCCAGCACTTGGGAGGCCGAGGCAGGAGGATCGTTGTGAGTTCGAGGCCAGCCTGGGCTACAAAGTGAGCTTAAGGCCAGCCTGAACTGCATAGGGAGACCCTGTCTCAAAAAAGACAAAAAAAAAAAACCAAAACCACTTGATAAATATAACATTTTGTGGATTGAGGTGTAGGTCACTTTTAAGCATCAGTGATTACTTAGAGAGATTAGAAACTGGCTGGTAGAAAATAGGAGGGGGAGTCTATCAGCTCACCAAGCTCTGTGTTTGTTTTTGTTTTTGTTTTTGAAACAAGGTGTCACTACACAGTTCAGGCTGGCCTGGACTCAGTCACTATGTATCCCAGACTGGCCCTAAACTCACCCCGATCCTGCTGGGATTAGAGGCCTGGACCACCACCATGCCAGGCTTCAAACTCTGTTTTTTCCTCTGTGAGCTACATCTGAGTCCCCATTCCCCATTCCCAACCCCCACTCCCACCACTGTCTTTTTTTTTGAGACAGGGTCTCATTAACTCATTAAATTACTCGAACTGGACTCAAACTTGGCAACCCTCCTGCCTCAGCCTTCTGGGTAGCTGCAAATACAAGCATGTATCATTGCACCCTGCTGAGTTACAGTTTTAACTGGGTTTGTAGTAATCCTCTCCTACCCACTTTGTGTCCTTGCTTTTGCTGAAACGTGTGCAAGTGCGGGTGTGAGGATGTGTCTGACTGGGAGGCGCTCTGGGAAGCAAGTGGACCTGTGAGTTGGCGGTGTGGGTCACTGTGCAAGGTGTCAGTAAATTACAGCTCACACAGACCCGTGGGGGGGCGCTCCTTTGTGTCTTTGCGCGAGAGTGATGTGTTCTTGGTTGGTTCTGGGTAGGTTCTGCCGTTCCTGTATTGCTACCAGTCTAAAGAGCAGCAAGTGGACCTGTCCCTACTGCCGGGCCTATCTTCCCTCGGAGGGCGTTCCTGCCACGGACGTGGTGAGGAGGATGAAGGCGGAGTACCGGAACTGCGCCGAGTGCGACACCCCGGTACGTGACCCCTGTGGGCGTGGCTTCCGGCCTAGGTTCTTGGGGAAATTTTCATTTCACCTAGGCTTGTATTCCTGTCCTTTTCTAAAGGGTTTCTGCCTCAGCCTTCCTACTTTTCTGCACTTTGTGTAAGGTTTCCGATAAACGGTCCCTAGAACTCCTGTCTTCACCTAATTTTTTCAAAGCTTTCATTGCCTACCTCCATCTCCTTGTCCTACTACTCTGATGACCCCCTATTACCTGGCCTCCCCTCCATCCCTGCTGGTCTTTTTTTTTTCTTTTTTCTTTTTTTTAGACGGTCTCACTGTGCAGTTCATGCTGGTCTTGAACTCACGATATAGCCCAGGCTGGCCTTAAACCGACAGCAATCCTCCTGCCTCGGCCTCCTGAGTGCTGGGATTACCGGCATGTGCCACCACACCTGGCCCATCCCTGCTAGTTGTTGCAGCCCACCAATGAGCTCTCATTTTCAATTCTGGTGGCATCCGCCTGCCTTTATTATTCTGGACTGCCACACTTGTCAGCTACTTCCTTGTCGAAGTTTTTCACTTTGGACATTATTCTAGGTGGATCAGACCCGAGGAGGTCTTGGAGAACACGTGAGAGTAGACTTTGTCCTAATGAGATAGGAAGGCGCTCAAAGAGTGTACGCTGTGCAGTGCCAAGGCCGGGCTTTCCCGTTTCTAGCATGTGTGTGCAGAGGGGTTGGAGGAAACACAGAGTTGGTGGAACAAGTGGGTCAGGTGAGGAAACTACATAGGGGTGATAGTGTTAGACGCTGAAGAAGAGATTGTTTGGAGGCATTTTAGTGAAATAATTTTAATTGGATGTAAGAGAAAAGAAGTGATATGCTGGGTGTGGTGGTGCACACCTGTAATCCCAGCCCTCAGGAGGCTGAGGCGGGAGAATCCGTACAAGTTCAAGATCAGCCTGGGTTACAAAGTGAGCTCAAGGATAGCCTGAACTGCACAGCGAGATAATTTCTCAGAAAGACAAAGGAAAATAAAAATAATAGAAGCCAGGCATGCTGGTGTACACTTGTAATCCTAGCACTGGGCAGTCCGAGGCAGGAGGGTCACCATAAGTTCAAGACCAGCCTGGGCTGCACAGTGAGTCCAGGCCAGCTTGAACTACAGAGCAAGACCCTGTCTAAAAACAAACAAACAAACAAAAACCCCCACATAATAGATTATTGTTTACTTTTCCTTACTTTGTCATCACACAACATTCCCCGTACAGAGTCAGAGCTTCTCAGCTCACCCCTGGTGTCTTTTGGCAGTGTCCCAGCTATTCCGCGAAGAAATCCCTTTCCCTTTTTCATGTTCCCTCACGTCTGATTTGTCACTGGTGTCTAGCTCTCCCCTTTTCTGCTGTCTCTTTCGCCGGGAATGCTGTCCGTTCCTTTCAGAGCCATTTCAACTCCACCTATTCTTCAGAGTCGGGGCCAGCTTGTCCCTTCGCCAGGACTGGGGCTCAGCGTTCTCGCGTTTATACCAGAGTCCCGTCTGCCTGTCTCCGCAGACTGTAAGCACTGTGGCAGCAGGCACGTGGCTTACGTTTCGTAGGCGTCTCTTCCAGTGTCTTACGTCCCTCCGCCTCTAGACCACAAATGCATCAATCTGTTGGTCTCTGCCTGGCCCACAGACTGCTGATTTCCCTGAGGAGCACTTCCCTTTGCTGACCAAGGAACGCAGAGGAAGAACTGTTTTACTGGAAGCAGTAAAGAGATGAAAGAACTTTATTTAAATGTGCAGAGTTGGGTGTTAAAGCTTATAAACCTGTCTGCCAGAATCCGTCAGTGGATCAGTGCTAGTGCTCATAAATTTCCTGTGGATATTTATTTGCAAAGGGAGGATTTTGCCTTTACTTTTCCACCAGCTTTTGTTTCCATCTTTTGTTGAAAATATGACCGTTCCCTTGACGGGGTAGATTTCACGTTTGAGGCTGAGCTTCCGTAGCTTGGGCGACGTGAAGCGACGTGTCCTGGCCACCAAGGCGCGGCTCTCCCGAGCTTCCTTCACTGCAAGATCTTATCCGAGGGGCTGGGGATTTAGCTCAGCGGCAAAAGCGCTTGCCTGGCAAGCGCAAGGTCGTGAGTTCGGTTCCCGGTACCGGAGAAAAACAAAACAAAAACAAAAACAAAAACAACAAAAAAAAAAAGATCTTATCCGAGCCTCGAAGGCAGCATTTAGTGGGAGATGCGTACGTCAGCCATGTCCCTCACGAGGAGGCTCGTGAGTGTGTATCTGGGAGCACAAGGACGCTTTCTTCTGCGTTGATAAAAATGGACTGCAAGAGCTGTCTTTTATGTTTGCTCTTAATGGGGCCCGTAAGTGTATTATGCACAGTGAGTTGATGTCATACTGGCCATGTTATAAAACCATGGTATTTCTGTCTTGCCCTAAGGCATGGAAGCGCTCTTAATTTAGTATGAACCCCTCTAAGATTCATGGATGTTAAAAATCTCTGTATTTCTCCCTGTATTTTCTTCACCTTGCTCTTTTTCTTTACCCACTTTTCTTTCTCTTCTTTTTTTCCCAAGACCTATTTACAGGATGGCATGCAAATACCATTTCTTACTTACTGTGCATCTTCTCACCTGTAAAAATACATAGTCTAGAAGAACTGAGTTTGAAAGCTCAGCATCTGGGTCTTTGTAGTATTGGAGAAATTTAAAGGTAGTGTTATTCTTGGCAATGCCTAATACTTTGTGGTGCTGTTTGATGAACAGATCTGTTTAATCAACTGACCCCCACGGCACGACCTTGTTTGGAAGTTGCACAGCTGGGTCTTATAAAGTCCCCTTTCAACAGCGAGTTTATTTTGCATTTGCTTTCCGTAGGTTTGCCTTAGTGAGATGCGGGCTCACATCAGGACTTGTGAGAAGTACATCGACACATATGGACCACTCCAAGAGCTCGAGGAGCCCGCCACAAGGTTTGCTTTAATTCCGAATAATTTAATGCTAGGGGCTGGGGGTTTAGCTCAGCGGCACAGCACCTGCCTGGCAAGTGCGAGGTCACGAGTTCGATTCCCGGTACCGGGAAAAAAACTTTAAAAAAAAAAAATTTAATGCTAAACCCGTACATTATTATTATTATTATTATTTTGGTCTTTTTGAGACAGGGTCTCGCTATGCAGTTCAGGCTGACCTTGAGCTCACTTTGTAGCCCAGGCTGGCCTCAAACTCGCAATGATCCTCCTGCCTCAGCCTCCCGAGTACTGGGATTACAGGCGTTCGCCACCATGCCCGGCTTAAAACCATACATCTATAAAGAATTTAAAGCCAAAAAAAAAAAAAAAAAAAGGGCTGGGGGTTTAGCTCAGCGGCAAAACGCCTGCCTGGCAAGTGCAAGGTTGTGAGTTCGATTCCTGATACCAGAAAAAAAAGACGAAAAATTTAAAAAAAATTTAAAAAATTAAAAAAAAAAAAAGAACTTAAAGCCAGGCGTGGTGGCGCATGCCTGCAATCCCAGCACTCTGGGAGGCTGAAGCAAGGGGATCCTTGTGAGTTCGAGGCCAGCCTGGGCTACATAAATGAGTTCAAACCCAGCCTGAACTGCATAGCAAAACCCTGTCTCAAAAAGACAAAAATTTAATGGGCTGGGGAAGTTTATTTTTTATTTATTTTTTGCCTTTTTGAGACAGGGTCTTGCTGTGCAGTTCAGGCTGGCCTTGAGCTCACTTTGTAGAGCAGGGTGGTCTCGAACTCGCAACGATCCTCCTGCCTCAGCCTCGCCTGGGAAAGTTTATTTTCCTTATGAAATATTTATGGGTAGGTTCTTAACTATAATGCCTGGTTACTGGTATTTATTTGGTAATAGTAATCATTTCAAAGAATTTTGCTCTACTTCAAACACTGCATGAAAAATAAAAATAAAAAATAAAGAAAAAAACCACTGCGTGGAAGGAGGGAACTAACGACACATTAGAAACACTGGAGCGATTTCCTGAGACGTTGCTGCTGAGGAAGATCCAAAAACGGAATGCAGAACTCTCTAGTTTCTTTTGAACTCTGTGGACGAACAGATCCCTGAAGTAGCTTGTGACTAAACAATTATTTATCTTTACTCTTCTGTCTCCAGTACCTCAGCTCAGTTTCTCAGTTCTCTCATTTTGCTAGTTTCTCTTCAGAAGATGGGAAGTGGCATGTCGGTGTGAACAAGGGAAGCCCAGGCCTGGGCGGGGAGCCTGGTTCTTCAGGCTCTTCGGCGGGGGATTGTACGTGGGGCCGGGGAGGGACGGGGATGGCTAGTCACGTAATGGGGACTGGTGAGCATTAACTATTATTTCCTAAGAAAAAGAAGCAGATAGAGGTCATTACTCTTGTCAGGAAAGGTAACAGCTATATTGGGGCAATTAAAAAGTTTGGCGCCTGCCCTCCTACAAAATAAAGAAATGCTTTGTGTTCTGCCGAGGCTGGAGGCTTGGTAACTATCGCAAGCACTCATGAACTCCGTTTCCCAGTACTGGCAGTCAGGATAAGTTCTCTTCCGCGGGCAGAAGTGTTAGTTCAACTCAAATACATTCCGAATAGAGCTCAAATATTTCAGGCTGAGAGTCTAAATGATCAGCTTATATTTTTGTTTGTTTTACCAAAGATTGCCTGCGAATACCTGTGTGTTTGTGTTTTTGTTTGTTTGTTTTTTTTTTGAGACAGAGTCTTTCTCTGCAGTTCAGGCTGCCCTTGAGCTCACTCTGTAGCCCAGGCTGGTCTGAAACTCGCAATGATCCTCCTGCCTCAGCCTCCCAAGTGCTGGGGTTACAGGCGTGCGCCACCACACCTGGCCTCAACCTACCTGTTCTTATAGCATTAGTTTTTTTTTTTTTTTTTTTCTTATAGCATTAGTTTTATAGGATGGTGTTACCAATTCTAAATGACCATTTTAGCTGTAAGTAGAGCATGGACTCTGCTAGATTTACCACAGGGACCTGTAGGAAGTAAAGGTGGTAAATTGTCTGAGAACGGCTGCAGATTTGATTGTAAGACTGATGGGGGCTTTATGGAAATTTTAAAATATATAAAAACCAATTTAAATCCTAATGTCTTTTGCAGGTTAGAACTACATAACAAAAGAATTTAAGATACAGATATGGCTGAGGGCTCAGTTCAGAACTAGAACAATTGCCTCACATGTGTCAGGCCCTTGGTTTAATCTCTAGCACCACAGGAAAGAATATAGTGAGCGTCGTTGATAGTCTTATAGGTTAGAGTAATATTTTCACTTATGATAGAAATCTTTGCTTTATATGAGAATTTGCTATAGGATTCAAATCTTAAATCCTTACACAGGAAGCTTCTCTGGAGTACAGGTGCTGAGGAGCAGGAAGCTGTATCTATGTGGTATGATTAAAAAAAGTTATTACAATAAAAGATACATTGTGGAGGGGTAGACGGGCAGGTAGGGGGAATGAGAAGAACAAATAATAAAGTTATAACATGTATAGGTATAAATTCCCTATGATGAATGTGATCATTATGTATGCCTAAAACGTATCAATGAAATAAAAAGAAGATATATTGACGTGAGTCTCTTTCAAAATACTCTAGCTTCAGACACCCTTATCCCATCCTTTTTGCCACTATCTGAAGCAGTTCTGGAAGTCTTCTTCCGTGGGTGTCATTCTGTGGCTTCCTTGATGTCCTGATTCAAAATATGCCTGGCAATTTCTGTTTAAAAACAAAACAAAGCATACTGCAGTGTATTCTCAGCCACCTTATCCACTGGATCTGGTACCATGTGACTTCTGAGTCTTTCCCAAAGTCAAAACAACCATGAAAGGTAAATGTTTTGAATCCATTCAGGACATCGAGACAGCCATGACAGTGCAACTGAAGACACGAAAGATGTGTATTGTATTTGCATCTCTGCTGTGTTTTTCTTAGGATACGTAACTTAGATTTCTTTTTTTGTTGTTGTTGTCTTTTTGAGACAGGGTCTCACTATGCAGTTCAGGCTGGCCTTGAACACACTCTGTGGCCCAGGCTGGTCTTGAACTCATGACAATCCTCCTTGCCTCAGCCTCCGAAGTGCTGAGATTACAGGCATGCGCCAGCACATCTGGCTATACTTACATTTCTTGTGGGAAAATATTTAGGTATCAGAATCATTACCAGGTTAAAAAAAATAAAATAAAATCAAAAGAACCAGAATTAGAAAGTAAATCCAAGGTGGATATGGTGGCGCATGCCTGTAATCCCAGCACTTGGGAGGCTGAGGCAGAACAATGGTTGAGAGTTCGAGACCAGCCTGGGTTACAAAGTGAACTCAAGGCCAGCCTGAACTGCATAATGAGAGCCAGTCTCAAAAAGACAGAAAAAGAAAGAGAGAGACAGGAAGGAAGGAAGGAAGGAAGGAAGGAAGGAAGGAAGGAAGGAAGGAAGGAAAGAAAGAAAGAAAAAAAGAAAAGTCCACCTATAGTCTTTTTTGGGGTATAGCAGGAATTGAACTCAGGACCTCACATTTGCCAGGCAGGCTCTGCAACACTGAGCTAACTTCCTGGCCCCTTCTATTTTTAAATTTTTTTTTCAATTAAGTGACTCCTGTTTAGCTGGCAAGATTTCAGTAATATTTGTAATTCTGTGCCAGTTCTAGGTGTGTATGTCCATTTTGCCAGAGGGAATTGGATGAAGACAGCCTGCTGGATCACTGTATCACTCATCACAGATCTGAAAGGAGACCCGTGGTAAGGACTTTGGTTATTGTACCTTTATTTTTAATTAATTAATTAATTAATTTTGTCTTTTTGAGACAGTGTTTCACTGTGCAGTTCAGGCTGGCCTTGAACTCACTTTGTAGCCCAGGCTGGCCTTGAACTTGCAGCAATCCTCCTGCCCCAGCCTCCAGAGTGTTGGGATGACAGGCATGCACCACTGCACCTGCACCTGGCTTTATTCCTTTAGATTTTTTTTTTTTGGTACCAGGAATTGAACCCACGACTTCACACTTGCAAGGCAGGCACTGTGCCACACCCCAGCCCCTAATTTTTATT